CTTGACTACATTATCTATGATCGATTACTTTTCTCTAACGGACAGCCTTGAGATCCTTTCGCACCGGCGGGCCGTCGGCGATCTAGTTCTCTTCTGTTGATACGCCAATGGTCTTCCAGACAGACACGCCTGACTTCAGCCTCCAATCCTCACCGTGTCGAACTTCGTACATCCATCAGGATATCGAGATTATGAAACAATCTACATGAGGAGGCTTTTCCCAGTTCTACTAACTATGGGTAGTTCAAAAATTGGATCAACATATTCTCTTCAAGCTCCTCATAGCCGCCCCAGTACTCTAACATTTAGAGTTCTGCCTGCGCGGTTGCTGCTGTGTGTAAAAAGTAGAGACGTCCGCTACGTTTAACGGATACTCGTGAAAAATACCATAAGTTGCAAAAGAAACTAATAACAATATCTGATCGAGCAGATGCGAAGATACTTCGTGAACTATTTGTTAGAATGCAATAAACCAACCTGAATCCTTTATTTTTCCTCTAGATCCCGATCGAGGTCGAAATCGAAAGCCCACAGCGGCTCGAACAGCCCTAACCTTCAAATCGACGAAGACGCTGGAAAAAGCGAGAAAAGGCAGCGTGACAGTTCCGAAGAGGGCAGCCCAAAGAAAAAGAGGGTTCTGATTTCTGACAGCGAAGATGAAGGTGCGGGAAGAAAGGAAAAGTAGATGCCGCTGATATTTTCGGCGATGACGCGGATGATATCAGTCTGAGCAGTGAAGGTGAGAAGGAGGATGAGAAAGAAAAGGAGAAGGATACCTCTGATAGGGAGGATGGAAGGAGATCGAGGTCGGATGATGGCAGAAGGTCTAGGTCTGAGGTTGATGAGACTGAACAGAGACCTGCAATTGAAGATGTAGGTACATTCTTGATTTTACAAATTTATAAGGTCCTAAATACCTTTTTGAGAAGCTAAGTGATAAATGCCTGTGTTGGGATTGGGACATATGCATGTTAAATTGATTCATTTCATAGCCCTTATCTAAGGTAAAACATTGCATGAAAAACTTTTATTAGACTCTCAGGGCCGTATGGTCAGTCGTTCCTACAATATTGCAGGTCGCCTTTATGGCCTCCTTGATTTTCATAGTCTTTCCTGTCCTTCAGAAAGGCTGGGATATTTCTAGGTTCTCTGTCAGCATCAGGCTATATAACAGATGATATAAATCAAAAGCATGAACAATTTGATGCAAATAGATATTTGTAATAATCTCAAAACAGAGCACTGACATGGAAGAGTAGAAAATATGAAAATCAAGGAAGCCATAAAGGCGTCCTTAAATTGTAGGAACGATGTAGGACGATACAGCCCTAAAACTTTTTTCTTAATGGTCATACACAGAGGAAGTCAATGTAGCTGTACACCCTATTTAAGCTGTGAAACATCTATCGGCGGGAAGGGTCTGTCATTGCTGAATATTACTCTGTAATAATGCTTTGCAATATATACCACCTTTCTCCTTTTTGCGGATTTTGCCCATTATTTTCCTACTTTTTGTTATATACCTTTCTCCCCATGATCATTTTCTCTTTGTAGATCCTTTGGGCTTGAAGTACCACAGCAAGTGGTTATAACCGACCGCGTGGCTGTGGTTAGATGTCTCCTTGAAAATTCGAGGTCTTCTAGCCATTTTATATTATAATGTGTAGGTTGGCTCTTGTTGTGGTCTTCGTGTGTCGATTTTTTCCCTCTCCATCTTCGTTTCCTCAGGTTACACTCGTATCCGGATGTGTGGGCATGTGTACCTACTTTTGTAGTTGCATATGTGTAATTCATTTCGGGCCTGATGAAGCCAACCAGCAGAAATACGTATCGCTCGGATTACCTATCGTATTTTCTGCTCGAATCCACTTTCTTCCTTTTTGCGGATTTTGTCCATTATTTTCCTACTTTTTGTTATCAGATATTACAATTAAAGTTTAGTTAGTCCTACTTTCACTTACATTTCTCACCTCCAGCACCTGTACATCAGCCCTCTTCCCAACTTATCAGATATTCAACATTTCATAATTCAGAAAGATCTTAGACTATCTGGTTAATTCCTTATGCACTGAAGGGAGCGCAGTGGTGGTCTGGAATCTGTTTAAAGGGGGATTGAAAACTGAAGAGGGGGATACTTAATTACACAGTGTTTCTGAGAACATGACTCCATGATTCAGATCTAGCAAGGTAATGCTCACACCAAGATGCAGCAATGTGCACCGTTTAGTTGAAAAAAATTAACAATCATAAGTATAGTTGTAGCAGCGCCCGCTCTTGGTCTATGATACACAAGTGGTATGAAATATTTTTTTTTTGCCACCACCAAAATTTTTTTCTTATGGGTGACGTAGAAGGCAATAAGAGTACTAAAATATACAATTTTTTTAATGAGCACAGTGTTTAAATGTAAGGTCCATTCTCCTGTTTTTATTTGCAGAAAATTTATCAATAACAGCCTCGTTAAAGTTTGGAATACCCGCTATACATTTTTTATCGATAGATAGCATCGCTAGGGCTGACAGTTTTTCTTCATTCATAGAACTTCGCAAAAATGTTTTTATTCTCTTCAGTGTCGAAAAGCATCTTTCACTTTCGGCCGTAGTCATTGGTATGGTAACAATTATTTGTAAAAGTGTAAAGGTGGCAGAAAATATGCTCTGAAGATTATTTTCTATAAAAACTGTAAAAAACTAATGGCACCACTCATATTTATGAAATCAGGTAGCCGGTAAATTAATTCCAATTCAGTCTGGAGACGAACTTTATCTGAAAACGAATATGCTTCTACTACAGTTTCCAAATATTGCAATGGAAAATGCTTTTCTAATTGTGGAAATTTATCAGAACAAAAAAGAATAGCTGCATTTAAATGTTTTGTAAAAGAAAATCTATCTGTTACGTGTGTAATTATGGTATCGCAAACTTCCTTGGCTGCAACAGTTCTGCAAATATGCTGGTCTTCATTTGCACGACGCTTTTTAGTTTGAGTAGTAGTGGTATCTTCAGAAATTTCAGTTTCAATTGTTTCCAAGCAGTCTCTCTTTTGGATGCAGTTTCCAAAACACTTTATGGCAGTCTGAATTTGCACTGGGTCAGTCACTGTTTTTTGTAACTGATTATATAAATATCAGCATGTGCCAATATTCGATGAAATACAGTTAGCCAGAACACAAACTTAGAATCTCGTAGCATACGGCCATTACCAGTGGCTTGATTGATGGTAACAGTTTCTATTTTTTCCATGCATTCTATTAACAATTCGCGATATTCGTATACTGTATTAGATCTGCTTTTAAAATTCCATCTTGTAACAGAAGACCTAGGAACTCTTGCACCAACACCAACTCGTTGTGCAGAATGAGAAAAAAAAGTTGAAATATCGCTTAAATTTGAAAAAAATACGTACTTCTTGATTTTGGCTTGTGGCTTGGGACAAAATCAAATTTAGCTGGTGGGCATAACAATGAACGAAATAAGCATAAATATAATCACGTTGAAAAAGAGCTTGAACACGTCTATGACGTCCACTCATTACGCTAGCGCCGTCATAACTTTGAGCTATCAGTTTCTCTGGTTTATCTAGCACTTGTATCAAATTGGTTTTCACACATTCTGAGAGACTCTCTGCATCGTGGTCAGGGGGGGTAACAAAATTCCAAAAACGTTCAACTGGCCTTCCATCTGGTAGAATGTACCTAAATAATGTAGTCATTTGATAACAATTAGCTACATCCGTTGTTTCGTCGGCCATAACAGCAACAAATTCAGCTTCCAAAATTTCTTTTCTTATATTTTCCTGAGCCACTTTTAACATGCAATCTAACAATTCGTTTTGAATGATTTTTGATACCCCTTTGAATACTGTAGATTTTTCAAAATGATCATTAAGTGCTATATCTAATTCGGCAGTGAAATTTATTAAACCTCTAAAAATACCAGGATTTGATGAACCATCTTTTTCGTCGTGACCGCGGATGGCTAATTCAAAAGCTCCGCGAAATTTTGTGCAATCAATAATTTTTGAAAGCACATACCTATTCTTTCTGACTTGTTCATTTTGCTGTTGAATACTGCGCCTAAATGCACTGTCCAACTTCTGCCGTACATCTACTTTTCCCAAAAGCTGCATTTCCAGTTGCGCATTGATATTGAGTGTTTTCATGTTTCTTAATTTTTTGTGCTAAATGTCCCAAGTCGGCTATTCCATTTTTGTCCAGGCAGGCTCTGCAACCCCGCGACCAAACAACAAACAGTAAAAACAAAACAAACGGTTTGTTGTGCTGCATCTACAAATCCAGTTATTCTTTTAATATATTTCCATTTTAAACTTTCTAATAAAGCCTCTAGATTTACCCTTTGTGGTCTGAGTCGAGTTAATTTCTGGTGTAGGTCTTCCCGCATTTTTTATTTCAATTTTTTGCTCCAAACTCAATGAACTGAAGTTATGTTTCAAATATTCCACAGTGAAACCATTCATTTTAACTCAATATTTTATTAAAATACTCCTACGAACATAAAAATTCGAACACACCTCCAATTACTGCATAAAATGCACGCGCAATGGACAATGGCGCACTCCAGAAGTGTGCGCCTTCTCCAACTAAAACTGCGATAACCCCGCTATACCGCGCAACCAGAACAGGAGGGAGAGAAACACACTAATCCCGCGTTCTTGGTGGTTACGTCATCACCGCCATATGAAATGAGTAAACAGATCGAGTATCCGTACCATGGGCGGAATACTGCGCAGACTAATGTTTAGCTCATCTGCTACTCTCTCCGGTACGCATAAAGTGGCTGGTTTCAATCTCTCCCTGGAAATACCATGCTCTAATAAATTTAGCACGAGCTGTCGGCCTTCTCCATTGATGGTATTCCCAGGCATTGTACAATTTTACATGAAGATTGATAACAGGACAACTCGAATTGCACGCCGATGTCAAGTACGTTGTCACTCTGACAAATATGATTGAAGGGCATTCATTCGTAACGAGAAAGTTTTCGAGACGGAGACACGCAACTAAAAAATGTATGTCTTTGAGCTTACCGAACAAATGTTCACACACAGGGTTAGGTTGCATGTACATGTATGAGGGAGATGGAGATATTATATAAGGTGATACTGGTAGTCTTACTTTGACCCGCCAAGAATGGTAACGACATCTATACGATACAATTTTTGCTTTTTTTTGTAGGATGAAGAGAAAGAACCTGAACCTGAACCCATTCCAGAAACTCGTATTGACGTAGAAGTACCGAAAATAACATGTGACTTGGGCAGAGATATTCATTTCGTGAAACTGCCTAACTTTTTATCAGTTGAAACCAGGCCATTCGATCCCGAGACTTACGAGGATGAAATTGATGAAGAAGAAACGCTTGATGAAGAAGGTCGCGCCAGGTAAGAAACGTCTTACTTCCCACACCTACTGACGGGGAAGTATTGTAAAAGCGAAGTTATGTTTTTTAGATGTTATGTTATATCACGAAAAACCATGTTACTCATTTCCGTCGATCTGTCCGCTATAACCGCCTATAACTTGAGAATTCCGCTCGGATTTCGATGAAATTTTACATAATGTTACTACTACGCTAAGGACGCAAAAGCTTTGTAATTTTTGAAAGTCGGTCCAGTGGCGACGGAGAAAAAGGCCAAAAACAAATATCGCTCAAACTTCGTTTGTTGACGTTTCAGACGATCCTGATCATTTCCGAGAAAATTTTTGTAGGGGTTAAAAATTGGGGGGTAGGTGTTGCAGGGGGTGAGGGAGGATATATCTCATTTTTTCACGTTGGTATATTTATACGCCTCCAACCCCAGTAATTCTACGCACGTATGAGCCATATTTCAGCCATCATAGATGTGCCGTCCACTTTAAAACTCCTACAGTCGGGTGTCGGTACGTGCAACGTTTTCTCCTGATGGAGATCCGACGTCATCGGTGGTCGTGCGTCACAGTCGGTAATCCATTCCTTACTGCTCTGGGTTGTATGAACTGTGCATGGTGTCGTCATTCACGCGGGATTGGCCATCGCAATGACCTTGTGCGACTGCAGCAATTCCCCTCGGGGCGGGAAAGGTCATTTAACTTTTTGCTACACATGCTCGTAGCTAACTTTTTTCTCTAAAGGGCTAACTTGTGCCAAATATAATCATGTACGAGCTGATGATAGGAAGTACAGAGTCAACTTACTTGTCATTTTTTTTATCCGTACAACTAATTTTTTTGCGTGCAAAACTGGTTGCAAGAATTGAATTTATCACATTTTTTTCAAGGTTGAAGTTGAAAGTAGAAAATACGATAAGATGGAGGGAAGTTGTGGATGAAGAAGGGAATATAAAAAAAGATTCCAATGCGAGAATAGTAAGGTGGTCAGACGGATCTTATAGTTTACATTTAGGTGCTGAAATATTTGATGTCTACAAACAACCTCTACAGGTAAACAACTATATCCTAAAATTATCTTAAAAGGAAAATATGTAGAAAAGAAGTGTATAACTAAATAGTCTTTTAGTATTTTTTAGGCACCAAGTTATGTTCTTGTTTCAAATAAGTTATATATAATATGATTTATTCCAGGGAGACCACAATCATCTTTTCATCCGTCAAGGTACGGGTTTGCAAGGTCAAGCGGTATTCAGAACAAAACTGAGTTTCAGACCACACTCGACTGAGAGTTTCACTCACAGAAAGATGACACTGTCATTGGCCGATCGGTCAACGAAAACCTCTGGTATCAAGATTATGTCACAAGTGGGCATTGATCCTGACTTGGATAAAGCCACTAGGCTTAAGGTAATATTTATTAATGTATAGCAGTAATTTTATGGTGCGACATCTTCCGTTTTCATTCATGAATAATTTTTTTTCACTAATAATATTCATTTTATACGCGTTTTGCATCGATAATGTATCCATCAATTTCTTTATGAATTAAGTTCAGGTCAAATTTAAGAAGTATAAAACTGGAATCTGACGTCAAATAAATCCCTGAAGTTCTTCATCACGCCATTATAACATATTATAATTTTTGCCAACCTTGCTTTCCTTTCCATTATATCCAAAAACGTTTCAATTCAAGCATATAACTTTACAGTACTCAACAATATAGTTTTTGTTAATGAGATTTTCCTTAAAATCAAAATCACAATACATATAAAAACAAGATGTTTCTAGCAACAATTTTTTGTGTAGCACTGTCTACTGTCAGATAATCCATGCATTTGATGATTGATGTAGACACCGCAAAATATAATCAGGACGACCTTGAAGAAGTCCATCTGAATAAATTCGCGGATAAATTGTTGATGTAAAACGGGTAAACGGATATTACATATATTTATGCAGGGAGGCCAATATATAACTAACTGATTTAAAGTGCGCGCCATTTTTGATACACACATTCCAGTAGGTGGCGCTGTAGTAGTTGTTTAAAGCGCATGTGTCCAATTCATTATGGAGTGCCTCACGGTCCCATAACGCGTCCGTATTGTTAAACCGTTTTACTTAAATAATGAGTCAATTTTTGCAACGATTCGGAAGCTACGACAAGATTTCAGTCGAAATAAAGTGCCCATTGTCAACACCATCCGTCAGTTGGTGCGGAAATTTTTACAAACAGGTGAAGTTAAAGACTTGCCAAGGTCGGGCCGTGTTCGAACTGTTCGTACTCCGGAAAATATCGAGAGAGTTCGTGAAAGTGTAGTGGAGCGCCCTGAAACGTCTACCAGACACCAGACATCGTTCCCAAGAACGACCACTACATCTTCGTCGAGTGGCAGTTTGGTATGGAGGTGTCATTGGACCTTACTTCTTCGAAGACGCTGCAGTCACTGGCGAGCGCTACCGCGATATGGGGCAAAACTTTCTGGCTCCTCAAATCCAACAATTTAACCTGCAAAACATGTGGCTCCAGCAGGACAGAGCAACTTGTCACACAGCTAGGGAAACAATGAATCTTTCGCGAACAATATTTCCGGAACGTTTAATGTCTCGACTTGATGATGGTCAACTGACCACCAAGGTCACCTGATTTAACGGCTCCTGACTGTTTTTTATGGGGATTTTTCAAAAATGGGGTTTATGCCAACCAACCAAATATGTACTGTAGAGCAGCTGAAGAACTATTACGGAAGCGATTGGAAATATTCCTCCCAATACCTACCAAAAAGTGATGGAAAATTTAATCAAGAGGGCTCAGGTTTGCGCGGCTTCTAGAGGAGGACATTTGTCTGATATTATTTTTCATACATAATTTCTAAGTTTCAGTAAAAGATTAAGATGAAAAAATGGACGTATTTTATTTCATTTCACAAATATTCAAGATACAGTCAGTTACATATCGACCACCCTGTATTATATCATCAAAAGCAAGAAAAATGTTGCTCAGATTCATGCGCGCTAACAAAACAGCTTTGTCTTACTGTCATTTTCTTGCAACCCGGCAGTTACATGAAAATCAATCAGTTTAATTTTTCATGCAAGTTTGTCTGCAATTCTGGTGGAATATTTACTAACTCGCCAATTAATGCTAATGGCCCTAGGCCGGTTTGGTGGTTTGTGTGGTTACATTTAATAGTTTACAGATCTACGTTTGATTGTTTTGATTTTTTATGCCGGCGATTGGAACTAGTTTTTGGATAATAAAATCATGTTTTCTGAAGGGTAAAAGACCAAAACCAAAATTATAGGTAAGAAATGTCACACGAAATATTCCATTCGTTCAGAGTAGCAAACCTGCTTGATCATTTGAATCGAGGAAACTGCAAGTAATTGAATGCAATTGTCTTTGAGACAAAACAATGCCGTCTTGCACTGAAAGAGCTTGCATGCATGGGTTTTGCAGACTTTTTTTTACACACACATCTGCGTAAATAACAATATTGACAACTGAACTTTATACTTCGAAATAGCTTAGAGCCGTTGAGAAATAGGTAGTTTTGACTATAGCTCCTCATGTAGTTCTTCTTGAATACTTCAATAATTGACCTAATTTTTTAAAACAACTTTTAATGTTAACAAAAAAGGAATCATTTGTACCAGTCCCCTTGGATGGACCAGTCCAAATCAAATCGGGTGTGTTCATGAATTTGAGTTTGTCAGTGTTGACATCAGGTAACTAGATATTTTGAAGTATGATGTAAAATCATATATTTTGTTATAAACAGGGTGTGGTAAAAGTACAAGAATGGCTCGATAACTCTCTCTTCCCTCAATTGGTGGTCGGTGATTCCGATAGAACGCGCGGAAAACTTTACGTTCAAACATGACCTTGAATGACCCTCATGTTTGACCATCAAGGTCCCACTACCGCTAATGCTGGATACTGATAACTCTTCAGGAGTGCATTTTATAGGGAAATGCTTTGAATACCAGTTGTAGGATTGTTCCTCCGCTATCAGAAGGTGACCTTGGATTCGATCTTGACCTTGAAGGTCAACTTCAAAATTTTAAATGTAAACCCCGGCAATGAAACGAGCATAAAAATCACGTTCAGATATGACCTTGAATCACCCTCATGCTTGACCTTGAATGATCAGAGGCGATAAAAAAGAGATCCCTCAAGGTCAAACTACCACTATATAGCCGGGACCCTTAACGTTGTCTTAGTCGGTCGGGACTATATCCTTAGTTTAGTTGCTCGGGGAGTAATTCAAGGTCACATATGAGGGTCATTCAAGGTCATATCTGAATGTAAATTTTTTCGCTCGTTTCATTGCCGGGTCAGAAATAGGGGTTTACATTTAAAATTTTGAAGCTGACCTTCAAATGACCTTTAAGGTCAAGATCGAATCCATGGTCACCGACCGCTAGTTGAGGGAAAATCCTGCAACTTCTATTTGAAGCATTTCCCCATATCCTGTAATTACAAGGGCTTATTTATGAACCAAATTTAAGTAGAAAAAAGTTTACATAAACATCTGCCCAGAAATAAGACAGCACAAAATGCCATTTATTATCAAAATCGACCACTGCTAGAGTGAACACAGAGAGGCTGTAGATATGGTCTACACTCCATTGAACATACTACTAATATAAATTTCCTTCTTTCCTCCACAGACAGCTAACCATCGACAGCTGTTGCCTACTACTTGGCAGTGGTCGATTCTGGTAATCGATGGCACTTGTGCTGCCTCATATCAAGTCTTTTTTTCAAGATACTGGGTATCAAAGTTTCAAAAAAAATTCGTTATTATTTCAAAGGTCCTTATGCTGATTATGTTGAATTTTGGCAGTACTGTTCATTGCAATAAGACCACCACAGAACAGACTTTTAAAATACATAGATGTTTTCGGATTAAGAAGATAACATATAAAAGAGAAGAGATTTCATAATATTTTTAATAGTCAACGATTTTCTCGACCTTAGGCGCCAATTTAACTGGAAAATGAATATAAATTTTTTTACAGAAAGAGGAAGAAAAACTTAGACAAACCGCAGCCAAGCCGAAAACAACAAGGAAGAAGACTGATCCTGCAACTAGGGTGCACAGCACTTATCAAGGCAGAGAAGAGGAGGGTAGCGAAGATGAGGGTGGTATTTCCCTTAATGCAATCAAGAACCAGTACAAGAGTGGCGCTGCAGCTCCTGCCAAGAAAGGTATGTTTTATTTTTTGCTTTGACCACAAAATAATGTAAATGAGACTTTTGAGAGCCATCTGATTAGACATATTTGTTGAATGTAGGAACAGTAATGCAAACTTTTTTAACCACTTAAATTTTATTTTACCAAAGCAGCTACCGGAGTGACATCAAAAGGTAATTTAAAATTACAGTAGCATTTATCTATCCTTGAGAGACTCTAGAGTTGAAGGAAAATATATTGGAATCCTCCCTCAAAGGTGTCACTTTCAATTTTAAGGAAAATTGTACCCTACTTACCGGCTTCAAACGTACGTTTTCTTTTTCACGAGTATCCATTACGTTTTAACGACTATTGAGGTGCACAGCTAATCAGCAAGTGACATCTTTGTATTAAAGTATGTACTATTAGCAGTAATGAATTACTTAAAACTAAGGATTATTTTCAGAACTGTTTATAATATAGTCAAAGGCAGTTTATCTTATTTTATTCCTACCTGCCTATAGTCACGATGATTAGCAGCCATTTTGCTTGTGTGCCAAGAATGTTTTCTAAATGAAAGCGGAAGTATGAATATGTAGCTTACAGAAGACCACAACCATGAATATCAGATATAGGAGGTTAAACCACAGCCGACGTCGGCTGTGGTTAAACTCACGGAGTGGATGTGAAGCACAAAAAAGGTTGACGATATGCATGCGCAGCTAATGAATTTCATGTGCTGCGCATAGGGCATCTCTCTCTGTTGCCATCATCATGACTGTAAACAACTCCAATTTTGACAGTTCTGACGAGTTGCAACCAGAAACATTTGATAATTGTAATAAACCACTGACTAATAAACTTACACAGCATGAAAAAAAGTGAATGAAATGCACATAAAGATTGCGGCAGGTTATGTTGACATTTTTCAATGCGCAGACGTTCTACCCCATGTTCTACGGCCATTAGATTTCTCTAGTCTTCGTGACTGCCTACAGATCTCGCGTTGACATCCATCAGAATTGTGTTTTTTGTCAATATTTTGAAATGTTGCTAGATAATCAGCTGTTATTTGCTGCCACGTTGGACGTTTTACCACAGCTTAGACAACAATCAGCTATGGAACTCTCCTGGCAGTGTAAAAAACGAAAGCCATTTTGGCGGAGAATGTCGAACGTAAATTCCCCCACTACCAAGGTTTTAGTGCTCAGCAGCATGCGGTGTTGCCTCGTATCATGACAGTGGCCGCAGATATTCTTAAAATGATAATATTTCTATAATAGTGTACCGGCTGTTGAGCACTAAAAACTCTTTCATATTTCTACTGGGGAATTTATATTTCCGCCGAAATGACGGCTGTTTTTGACCCTGACAGGAGAGTTTCATAGCTGATTGTTAGTTAAGCTGAGGTTTTACGAGGGATGTCTTTTAAGTTCTGCATATAGAAACATAGTAGGCCGCGCCGATCGAAACGTCAGAACTGAATCTTAACCTTACTCTTTAGGTAAACTTAAATTCAAAGTTTCACAACAATACATGCAGTGTTCTCACAACAGTGAATTTTTAAGTGTCACCAAGTCATTAGAAAAATGTAACTCAACCGAGAACATTTTCGCGCCATAATTTATTACAACTTTCAGACACAATTATCGCAACAAGAATGCCTTGCTGTAACTCATTACTGTCTGTTTTCGGCAACGAAGCGCCACATCAGTCGACAATTTCCCGTTGGTATGGAGAATTCAAACGTGGACGGGTGAGTCTTAGCGACGATCCCAGGGTGCGTGCACCAAAAACGGCAGTCACCCAGGAAAACGTCGATGCTGTGCGCAAACTCATCAGTGAAGATAGACAAGTGACATATCCAGAGATTGAGGCGTCCTTGAAGATCTCAAAGACCTCAATTAAAAAAAAATACATGAAGAATTAGGAGTAAGAAAATTAGTTTCCCGTTGGTTACCCCCACTTGTTGACTGAAGAGCAGAAAGCAGCCAGGGTTAATTGGTGTCAAAAAACGCTTGACCGTTTCAATTCCGGAAACTCAAAAAATGTGTACAGCATTGTTAGTGGCGATGAATCGTGGATTTACTGTTATGAACCAGAAAATAAACGACAGTCGGCTGTTTGGGTGATCCATGGTGAAAAAAAGTCATCTGTTCTCGAAATGTTTCGAAAAAGAGGGTCATATTGCAACAATTCCTCTTAATGAGCAAAGAACTGTTACTGCAGATTGGTATACCACCATTTCTTTGCCAAAAGTAATCACCGAGCTTCGAAAAATCAACCCTGAAAGAAAAATCATCCTCCACTAAGACAGTGCAAGCTCACACACAGCCCAAAAAACAAGGCAGTATTTAACGGAAGAAAACGTGGAATTATGGGACCATCCTCCATATAGTCCCGATCTAAGTCCTAACGATTTCTTTACTTTCCCGAAAGTTAAAAACAGACTGTGTGGTCAAAGGTTCCAGTCACCAGAAGAAGCAATTGACGCATTCAAAAATGCCGTTTTGGATCTGCCAGCAAACGAGGTTCGAGCGCATGCAGATGTGTATTAATCTTCGTGGAGAATACTTCGAAAAACAATAAAGTCATTTAAAACTACCTACCCTGTTGTTTTATTTCCATATGCAAAACTTAAAAGACATCTCTCGTACTAGGTGTATGTACATTTTACTGTGTCATACAGAATGTTCAATGTACAAGTCACTACCCCCCCTCCCCCCCATCCTAAAAAATACTGATCAAACAAAAAAAAGATCAAGACAGTGGTTGTAGGGTTTTGCGAAAACAGTCTACTAATGATCTGATCTTTATGTAGAGGTTGACCTAATTTTAAATGGAAACGTATCTTTCTAGTCCCAACAATGGAAAGAGTGAAAAATGTTAGTTCGTAGATACCCTTGACCATTAAATAATTTAAAGGTCAACTTGAACATGTTTCAAGGTCTCATGTTTTTGATCCCGCGAATGGAAATAGTAGAAACATTTTTTCGTTTGGAAATGGTAGCTAACAGCAATCATGTTTCATTTTTGTCTAGGTGGAGCTATTTATTCATCTGATGAAGAAGGATCAGACATTGAAAACAGTAGGACTAAGAAACATAGCAAGCAGGCGTTGAAAGATTCTGATGAAGAAAGTGAGAGTGAATAGAGTTGTTCAGAGCTAGAGATGTGTATAGCTGACAACATTGGAAATATGTTTGTAATGACCAAAAATGCTTTACAGTATTGGGACTTGGTATTCCTGGATTTTTCATTTAGTTTTTATCAAATATATTAGACTTTTTTTGTCAATTTGTATTCCTGACTGCCTACCTGTTCAGTTATAGTATATAGTCCTTGAAACTGATTATATGAAACATTGTGTATTTTTTTAATCAGTATGAGAAAATAAAACTTTTTTTATAATCATGATTTTTTATTTCTCTTACAAAACTAATACATTGATGTGTCACTAGAAAAACATATTTACAACCATAACAAAACAACATTGACATACATGTATTTTTATTTACATGAAAGTGATGAGTATATGGTCAAACTATTTTTAGAGATCAAGAACTTCCTGTTAAAGAATAACTAATTTAATGTAATTCTACTTGCTCAACATAATATCTTACACTAATTATTCTTCAACGTATCCCTAATTTTTTAACATAAACTGTCATCTATTGTATTCCATGTGCTTGTTGAAATTTTTGGCTTGAGGACCTAACTGTTCTCAAATCTGTATTTTGTGAAGTTGTAGTTATCATATAAATAATACTCTTTTATCTTCTACAGCTAGTAGATATTTATTTGACCTTTAATTTCTTCTTGTACATAACCCTGAACAATGTGGATCAGATGGACCATTCCTGTACAAATATAAAAAGTAAAAATACTCTCCATATATTACTCAATCTCAAAATTACTTGGAAAACAAACATTTCTGCAAAAATATGCAGTTAGACTCAAGAATCATTGAAGTTCTTTGTTTCTTGATAATATATGCAATAAAATAGCTCGCCTTGAATAGTCATTTGAAAAATGAATGCCTAGCAGCAAAAACATGCTTATCTCAAACCATCTCTATGTACCAAGTACCTCATTTTTTAAACTATTATATATATATATTTGGTACTCATTTTCATGTAGTTTTTAGAGACTGGGAGATTGATTCAAGTTGATATCAGAACAAATGCAAAAGTGTATGAAATTTTTACGAAAATAAATGCCACTTTTTGCTGCAACTAGTTGGAAGCTGATAAAATCCTATGCTGAGGAAAATATACACATGCGTGACTCATTGCAGTAACTGTTATTCTTTGTTTAGATTTTCCCCCATTACAGACAACAGTAATTTTCTAGCTTAGCTACACCAGCCGCTTTTGATGAAAAATGATTTCAGACCCTAGTGCCTATTCAGATGGAGAAACAAAAAAGGTGTAGCTAATCTAGAGAATTACCCAGACAACTTAATCTTGCTTGAAAAGGCTCCTCTTACCTCGAGTTACCTCCAGCATTTATTCTGCATCTTTCACTGCTTGTACTCTGGACATAGTAATGCCTACTGTCAGCACTAAAAAAATTTGCATGCAAGTATTCCCTCAATGTCGCATCAGACTTTTCACAAAGCTTCCTAAACAAGTAAGATAGCTTTGCCAACTGAAAACATTTGAGGCAGATATTTTCCGGATATCCATCATCCTTTGTAATCTAAAAAGAATCTTATGTAGTTGGATTCGTTGGTGAAACTACAAACGTGCATTTTTTACCGATATTGCAAAGCAGCTTCCCAATATATCACTTAACTGTACTGGTTGACCCAGAATTTCTTCCGAGGTGAAAATATTCCTAAAATTTGGAGTGCTTTTTAAACATGACCTACATATATTTTGTGATTCCATATTCAGAAATTTACTATCCGAAAATTAAAACATTATTAGAATGTTTGTCTTTTTGTTTATAAAAATTGACGAAATCCACTCGTCAGCTTGACGTTGTCAAAAGCACAAAACCTCAAAACACACACGGTCAAATGCAAAATGTCACCGATGTCATCTACAGACCACAGAATCATTTTATTTCAAGATTCGTATTTTCTAAATCATCACCTCCTGCTTCAACTACAAAATTTCAATTTTCCCAACCAACAAAGGGCTGGATAGTTACATGCCCATCAAACTGTTATAATAAAATGACTAAAAATGGGGAACAGGCCAACAGGCGAACTTCCTTTGAAGGTGCTTATAGAATACGAGCCCAAATGTCAAAGTTGTCATTTAAACGAAATGAGAGATCTAGCAGTGGCGCCGACTGGCGCGGTGGTTTAATGGAGGAAAAGTTTGAAATTTGAATTTCATTACCATGGTGAAAGAACGTCTAAAATGAAGTTTTATGACTGATTTATTGCTGTGTAATTTTTTTATTACACGCAATTAGAATATGGATCCCGTAGTTCCCCCATGGACTTGTCCACCTTATGGTTTCTATATTTCTAAGCTATTGCCGTTATTGCTAGACGTTGAGGAAGATCCAGAAAATATATTGGTGCGTATAATACAAAAAAATGAAGTGTTTCAACATTCGTACAGTTTTTCTTATAGGTTTGTCCTTCGAAACTGAATTATGAGCTGCAACTAAGCACAGAAGACCGTCTACAGAGACTTTGTAATCCAACAAGAAAATATCGTGTGACAACAGAGACCAATACGTTTAGCCGAACCCCCGACATAGTAGTTTTCCAGAATTTCAGTAGTAACACAGTTTATACCACGATATTGTCTCTACAAAATACTCATAAGGTATTTAAAAATACACTCAATAGTCCTAAGAAAAATTAGAAATGACCGGCCGAATATCTAAAAATCTATATTTGTCATTTACTGAGAATATTTTCTACGCGCCAGTGGCGTAGCGGGGTGGGTGCAGACATAGCGACCCCGGGTGGCACCTGGAAAAAGGGACGGCCGCAAGTACAGCAATTTTTCAAATTAAAAATCAACTAATCCCATTTCAAACTCCAAATAGCGCCCGCGCTGAGGTCCGCTGAAATTTTTCTCACCCTTTGGGAAAAAATTAATAATACGAATATGCGCCAAGAAAAAGTTTGAACTTGTAAGGTTTCTAGGGTAAAAAAAGAAGTTGACATTGATCACGACCTTTAAGGTAACATTTCAAGAGTATGTGGGTATTTTCAAATAGCTTTTTTACATTGGACGTGAAAAGAATAATAAGGATATGACCAATACTATGACCTGAGGTTTGTATGATAACCCAAATGTGACCTTGATCATGACCTTGACCATGACAGGTCAAGTCGAAACAACCCTCTGATTTCCTTTGAAATCTCCCATTTTAACACTTGTTGGGTCAGATGTAGAATTTCATGCTTGTTCCATTTCCAGTATAAAAATGAACGCTTCCTTTGGAAATTTTGATTTACCTTGAAGATTGTGGTCAAGGTCATGGTCAATGTCATTTTTGGTTGATACCTACAAACTTCTCACAGCTTTGCTGTCGAAAATTTTTGAAAAAGCAAATTGTTTTCGATGTCTTTTGACCTTGAAATAACTTAGAAGGTCGGTCCAGGTCATGACAAAGGTGATATCTAGACGTAAAATTTCTTATTCTTTTCAATGAAGATGTGAAAAAAGAGGTTCCATTGGAAAATACCTACGTGACCTTGGAATGACCTTAAATGTCATGGACGTCATTGTCAAGATCACCGTTATACTTCCCCCTCAAAACCCTAGAACTTTTGTTTGAATCTTGTTTCTAGAACGCGCAGTTTTCAAAATATTTGGGTGGGGATAACCTGTATAGGCATTTGCACAACTCTCCTCTTCATCCCACAATGTTAACTCCAGAGTTCTCAAAATATAGGTCCTGGTTCCGACATTGCTTCTAATATACATATATCAACGATCTCCTTTCCTGTGCGATCAATCCAACCCACAGCTTTGATGATGACAGCACCCTACATGCAGGAATTCAGAGCTCCAGCCCGATCATGACGTCAATTTGAACTTATCATTAGAAAGCAATAATCTTATAATGCCACCAAAAAAATTTACTGTTGCAAAAGTTGTACAGGATTTTCTTATACAAAATCTCAATACTTCTAAATACTTTCTTTTCAAATGGCGTGGAAAGGAAATGAATAAAATTTCAAGGATACCAAAGAGATGTATTATGAGCTATACCTCATTCGTAGTCCGTTTACGCCCAGACATAACACAGCATGGCCAAAATCAAGATTGTACAGGTCCGTATTTCCTCAATGGTATTGGAATAATCTAACAAAATAATTGATTATTTTTACAGAAAGAAATGCACATACTTTTCACAATTCTTTATTCGCTAGAAGTACTTGCACAATTGTCCGAATCGTTAATGTTATTACAGGTTCAATTTGAATGTTGATCATATTGTCCAGAACCCACATCTTTGTTTAGATTGTCTCTTGAACGTAACGGATGCAATCTTTCCAATGGCCTGCCGTCACTCTGTTGACAGCCTCATAAAACAAATTTTTCACGTCAGAAAATTTGAATGTTCTATTGTTTGAAGCCACAGTTTTTTATATTTGCCCAAATCATTTCAATGGGACTTGATTAGCAGTGATAAGGGGGTAGCCTTAAAACGGTCTTATTTTGGTTTTTCGTCAATAACATTAAGATTATATTTATATTTGTGGTGCCTGACTAGATGGATAACTACTGCTTTGACCATATTTTCATTGAAACTTATGTCTTTTGATATTAGCCATTGTTGAATTTCTGCCTTTCTTGTGGACATTGTGGGATTTTTTTCTAGCTTTCTAGTGTGGTATGCAGCATTATCAAGTACAATGACGGCATTGTCGTCACCATTGTTCAATGAACTCCCGTCCATTTCTTCATGGTAGTCGGAAGTTTTCTTTGACTCAAATGCCCATAGGGCAGTGGGCACTGCCAATGTGACAGATAACAAATCGTTTTCCTTTTCCTGGAAATAATTATTTCATATAATATTCAAGAAAACTAATATTAATACAAGCAGAGTATCTAACAGGTGTTGGTTCCAAATCTACCAGATATAGGTAAATTTAGTGCAGCTACCTGTGAGTTTTCAGCGTGGGCTCATAGATTCAGTCTACTTGTCACCATTTTTACAACACAAATGACGAATTGGTTAGATACACGTACCTGACGGATTCTTTAGGCCAGTGGTTAGTCCATCTAAGAAGCCTTGATTTGCTGATTTAATTGTAGAGCCAGCCCATACTTTAGGTTTTGTATGTCCTGAGTTCTATATCCTGTCGAATCCTGCACTTGTTCGTAGTTTTATTAGCTATTGCAACGCTTATGCGGCTGCCGCTTTGCCGCGCTGCATCTTTGTTGTGCCGGGGCGTAAATGGACTACGAATAGGTTATAGATTTTGCAGAAATTAAAAAAATCAAACATACGAATCTCATCCATATATTTATTTTCGCTTTAATTCCACAATCCAAAATCAGTCAGACATTATAAAAGGTACTCTCACAGTCCAAATTACTAAAAACGACTGGTACTTTATAAAAAAAAAAATAATAAAAATGTATAGGTATCTATTTTAAAACAACGAAATACAGTTTCAGCAATGTTGTTTAGAAATATGGAGCATAAAAATAGGGGTTTTCGAATATATTACCAATTTCTGTGGGATGACAGAAAATAATTTGAATTATTATTATTACGGGTATAAATATCTTTTCTGCTTCAAGATACTGAAAACGTAAAAATGTAATCAGTTCATCACCTCATTGTACAGACACAACAAACATCAAGAAACATGTACAGAATATATTTTAAACTATATAAATATATATAAAAAAGTATATAAACTATATTATGACCCTCATGGGTCGAGCCATATAGTTAATAATTACATTCATTTTCAAACAAATCTAGGAAATGATACATCAATTGGAAAAATGTTACAAATAAAAGACATAGTTGAATCAGTCAGTGCAAAAAAGTCCCATAGTTTTTCAGGAGACAGTATAAACAGTGTGACTGATAAATATAAAAGTTTTGAAGTACTTTTGTGTGCATATCGGTTCTAGAAGATTGAAATTGTGAATAACCTTCACAGTTTATGAATAGTAACAATAGAAAAGGTTTGAAAAACTTTTATGGACTCTAGTCGTTTTAACAGGAAATGGGATTAGTGGTATATAACTCAAGCAAAAGAATCATATGAATCACATTTTTAATTGCTTAATATTGACTTATTAACATACCACATATTATTAGTTTTATTAATTTATTTTGAATCAAATTTTTTCTTTGTTTTGGAGTTTATTTATCAGTATTCAAAAATGAATATCCAGGCAAAACCAGTGGCGTGCACAGGAAAGGTTTAATGAATGGTAAGCTTCTACGCTACGAATTGATGAAGAGACGCATATTATTCAATTAATGTTGCCTTAGCTTTCTTCAAATGCCGTATAGTGTTTCCAATGTAAAGCTTCACGGTGTTTTCAGAATAGGGGAGTCTAAGCCTTTTCTTAAGAATATTTTAGGTTTTTACCTCAAATATTCAAACCTAAATATCTCGAAAATGAGTGATTTGAGAAACATTCCAAATTTATGGAGAATTGAATGGCATTTTATACAATGCACTTCTTTTCTTCGAAAATGCCAGTGGCGTAAAAATTATTTCCTGCCAAGGGTCCAGGTACCCCATTTTCTACGTCTCTGGTTTAGTTTGGACCAGGAAAGTATGTGTGTTTATTGCTTATTATGTGTTCCCTGAACGTCTAAGATCCTAACTCAGTATTTTTACCCGCTACGTAGATATATATATTTTTTTAATTTCGTAGGTAAAACTTCATCACCCTGTATCTCGGTAGAGGAGCATCTTTGGACACATATTAATGGGAACCTTTTTTGTTATTTTTGGATGTACTTTCCTCCTTAAAAATATTGGCACGCCTTTCTGAAATACCCTGAATATGCGAACAGCTATTTGAAATATTTAAAGTATCTTCTCAGACATACCAATGGCAGGAAATAGGAAAACTCTTAAACAAGTGATTTCGGGCAAAGTGAATAAGGCCTGCAATCTTAGTTTTGTAGTTAATGAATTTAAAATTGATAATCTGGTGGATATAGCTCATAAATATGAAAATAAAACAATACAGGGATGCAGGTTTGGTTTTTGAAATGACCCATTCAAGTACCCACCGTCACTAAAAAAGCATTTTGGTAACAAAACGGACTTAAGAGCTTTTTGCACCGACCGATTCATTTAGAAACAGGAATCTTGATAATTGAGTTATTGAACATAATCCAAATTCTTTTTTTGTCTCGTAATCCTCCTCAAGTCTCTTACAAAATACTTGAACATATTTTCACTCAGAAACCCACTAACACACTATACAGCCCTAATAAGGACAAATGACACTACCGACGCTCCCAGGATAAGTATAAGCATCACTCTGATGCACTCTACATATCTCCTTGTATCTCTGCCCCCCTCCTTCTGAATTGTATCTCCTTGCTTGTCTTCGACTAGACGTTGAGGAACCTCCTCCATATCCGAACAGGTCCCAGAAACCCAAGGGTTGTGGCAGAGGTGCTGGAACTGACTCCACGCACATTACTAGGCAGCTTATCACCGCGAATATGAAAATAGCGCACTTCATTTTTGAACAACTAAATCGCGGTCTGCGGCTACAGTTGATTTGATTCAAGCGCGCCGGATTTGGTTTAAGTAGGTCTGGAGTTCGTGCGTCTTTGCTAGATGATTTGCGATTTGTGTTATGAGATGCGGCTCGCGTGAGGACTGTGTCTGAATGCAGATAAGGTTTGCACC